CTAAATATATATGGATATATACTCCTGTTTAATTTCACAAGTCTTATAATATTTTTATAATTTCCATGTACAGTGTTGTGTTGCCCAGCATTTGGTTCTGATCCAGCAGCTATATTGAGCCTGTTTCCATGGGCTTCCGCTCTCCTTTAAAGTCTAGCGAGACTACCAGCCTATATCAATCAGCCCGCAGGATGCTTTAATCCACCATTAAGCAGATGAAATGTTGCACTGAGCCTGCGGTGCAGCAGTGACGGCAGGAGCGGATCTAAACATTTTGGGCGTTCCCCTCAAACCTGACCGCAGTTATGGACACCCTGCACCAAACCATCCAGAGCAGCAGAACACAAACCTGTTCCTCTTCGGAACTAGATCCAAATGTCTCAGGTCTCAGTATCCTCTATTTATACGCTGTGTATATTTACAACAGGCCGGATGATTAGGATGCTAGCAAGAAGTGAGGAGAATGTAGGGGCAATCATCTTTGGCTATTCTAAGGAGACAAGAAGTTTATCAGGGGTGAGCCCCTCTCGGATGTCAGTTTGTTTTCTCAAAATCTAACAGTACTTCCCCGAGTTATTGCAGATATTTTTAAGTTGACCCTTCAAAAAATATATACAATTTAAAAAATGCTTGTAAGGAGCACTTATTTGAGTTTTTAAGAAGTACGCTTCAGGATGAGGGTACATGTAGAAATAAAAATCACAAGAAACCTTCATCAAACTATATTGTTGAACCATTAAAATGTCCTTCTTGTTAAACTATATGTAACATTATTTATGTTACTTTCTGTTCAGTATAATAGCTCTGATGCTGCAGACCTCTACCTGCACAACACCCTCTGTATTGTCTCCAGGCACAAACACACAGATTTTGACAGTGATACACATCCACAGGTGTCCTGCACAGCTGGACTGAGCTGTTCATCAGCTGTACGAAATGTCAAGATGCTCTGAGTGATAACGTTCAGAATGTGAAGAATGATGATAAAAACTGTTTTGAAACAGGAAAACATCCATTAAACCTTCTGTCAGTGTGCTAAATTGTGGAATGTTGCAATGATTTAGGTTTCAAATGTTTTTCGAAAGAAAACATCAAATAAATTGTCTGAAGATATCATTATTTATTTATTTTTTATAATTTTATACTATGTCAAAGAAAAGTTACATTTTATATCAGTTATCACTTTGCATATATTTCTTATTTACAGCCTGTCATACATTGTAGCCTAATAAACTGATTTTAGCTCATTCCTCGTTTTGTTTTAATGCTGTATTTCATTTTTGCTTGACACTAAGCCATGTTTTTTTTTGTTCAATTAATTTGCACATCGGTGATAGGAGCTAAATCTAATGTATGATAACATTTTCACAATAACAATGCTAATATAATGATGGTTAGCAAGTGTAATGTTTGGCCGGGTTACTATTAACGTTAGCATGCTAATGTTTGTAAATTAACACAAAACAGCAAACTGCTTGGCATAAACCAGTGATAAACTAAAAAACAGAACACATTCAATTATGATGGAGCTTGTTATAAAGCTAAAACCATAAATAAGTGATAACAAAATGTACATACAATATTTTTAAGTTGATGAGGCTAACTAGCTAGCTAACATTTGCCTATTAAAGCTAACGGCTGTACGTTACACGAAGCTCCGTCGAGTCGTGTTTGTGTCCAACTGATGACTGTAAGTACAATAGCCCGCTCTCTTTTAAGGGAAATATCTGACTCTTGAAACAGCACTTCGTTGTCCAGGTAGCTGCTCATTTTTGTGTGTCTGTTGTATCCGAGTGTAGGCCTAGGTTATTGTTTTACTGAAATGCTACCTGTTGCGGCCGAAAACGGCTATGACAGTAGTGAAAGTGAATAAAAAACAGTGAAGGTGTAGTAGGACAGACAGTCTTACAATACTGGAGAGCTGGATCTCGATGTGGCTTTATCTTGACAGACTGCAGCAAGAGGTAAGAAAGCAAGTATTTTCTTCTCACTGTGTGGCTGTTGGGGATACAGGGACGGGATGCCACTTGGGCTTTGTTTTCCATCTATCATAGGGTCATTACTGCCTGCTGTCATCATTAGATGCCCTCTGGATGAAGAGTTGATCCTTGGCAGCAAGGCCTGGCTTTGACAGTACTTCTCTCTCTGTTTACCTTAGACATTCATTAAAAGGCATGTCATGTCTTTGATATCTAAATTAGACAGTCAAACGAATGGCTGGAGATCAGTGTGTTTAGAAGATGTTATGATGAAGAATGCTAACTATTTCTCTATTAACAGGTATATTAAAGCTGGAAAGGTACTGCATATTGATTTACCATATGGCTCAGGAATTGCATTTTCTCTTTAAAATTATTTTGGATTTAATAATTCTTAGTTCATGGGTTGTGAGATCTTGCCGTACACTTCTTCACTGTAGGAAGAATGTTAGTGAAATCCAGGAGTAACAGAGTAAAAAAAGCTTAGTGTGTTTGTTTCTATAGTTACACCCAGTGGTTTATGTGTCCCCGTTTTTATTCTTGGCTGGTCAAGTGAGGAGGTCAAGATTTATTTAGAGGATGCAATGAAGAGTGTGATACAGAATGCCTGGATGCATATGGCATCTCTGCTATTTGGTCCACGCTCCAGGAAAGGTTGCTGAGGGGTTCACAGTGTTTTCCTAAAAGCATTACCATGTTAATCAAGTCAATCGATACACAGAGAAAGTTTAATATAATAATTGTTTAAAGTTAAGTATTTACATTATAAAATTAGACTTCATTTATTAACTTCCTGAATGTTTCCTGAAGCTTTTTTCAGAACATATTGCGTTCCTGTGCATTAGAGATATTTTCATTGGCCCTTACAGGATAATGAACAACTATGATATTAGCCAAATTAATTGATAAAATGTAACCAGCTTCAAAGTAATGTATGACCCTCAACTCGTCTTTTGATAAAACTTTTAAAATATTTTTTTTAAAATGGCAACCATTGCGTTTAAAAGAACTGTGAAAATGTTTGAGCAATGCACAAGGATCACATCATCGAGTGTCAGGCCCAACTCAAAAGATGATCCATAAAAGGCTACTAGGTATTTTTATCTTAACATGACCTTGTGCACCATACTGAGTACACATTCTCACATTCTCACTTCATACAGTATGACTGCTTGATTTCTTCATGCTGTGCTGTGTCACTGTTAATGCAGAAAAAAAACATTCAATTCAACTTCATACATTTCACCGATCTTTGCTAAAATAACATTATAACATTTACTTACTGTTTCAGATTTGTTTTAAATGTTGGCAAAAAAAATATCTGCCCTTATAAATTATATTTAATTAGACCCTGTAATAATAAAGGAGGGGCTTTCCAAGATTGGATACTACAAGGTTTAAAAATGGAATTGCAGATAGAGAACCCTCTTAACAAATCTTAAGAACCTGAGCAGTGTGCGAGCAGTGTTGTCTTTTCTCTGTGTGTGTGTGGGACCAAACAGAGTCCATACACCTGTCCTGCCAGCTGATGTCAGGTTATTGTGCCTCTCTGTGGGTTATGGCCTCTCCGGTGCCTAAATGTCCCTCGGAAAACGACCTCAGAGGCACTCAGCCACATGAGAAGAACACACAAGTTTTGGTTATAGTAAACTTTGCCTTTTGTGATTATTAAAAGCTGTGGAAGAACTTAGAAATTGTTCCAAATATGTTGAATTTTCTGTATGCTAAACTAGATAATTTGCAAAAAAATTGAGCTGGATCAATTTTTGAAAAATAACACAGTAATTCAATGACATTGTGCATGCCACCCTTAATGTGAGAGGATGGGTTGTGCACTGCTGAATGACATATAGTAATGGTGCTGTGATACAAGATTAGCATGCAACTCGACACTTTGATGGTAATGTAATAAGTGATTGCTTACTTAATTCACATATAGTTCCGGCTCTTAAGTGTCCTCGTGAGCAGTGTGTGAAATCACACAGGTCAATGATGATACATACGGTATACTCGACCAGAATACATACAAAGCAAAGTGTTTATTGTCCACAAGAATGACTGTTAATTGCATTATATTTTAAACTTCATCAAACCTCTCCTATTTATTTCAGAGCATTTACCCATTAGAGAATACCAGTAACCATGCATTCAAAATATAGTATGACGTTTTCTGCTCAATTACATTTGTATGGACACAGTCATTTTTTACATTACATTACATGCCACTTGAAGTCCACTGAGACAAATGTAACATTTGTGATATTGGGTTATATAAATATTGATTGATTGACTTGTTAGACGCTTTTATCCAAAGCGACTTACATACTCAATACTGTGGGCAATCCCCACAGGAGCAATTTGGGGTGAAGTGTCTTGCCCAGGGACACAAC